TTCAGGACTGGGCCCTTAAGGCCCCTCCGCCTGTGGGTGCTCGAGTTCACCGCCACTCAAGATCTCTGCGCAAGAGCACGGCCTGGAGCCGCTGTGGAAACGCTAGAAGACCCTAGACCCCCATCCGAGGACGGCCCCCGCGTCCACGCCGCCCACCTGGTCCGGTCTCGTTTTCCGGGCCGCGGCGACAGGGCATGTTCGGGCCTGCCGCTCGCACGTGGCTGCGGCTCCAAGGGGCGGGGCGGCCACACACAGTCGCCCCGGAGCCCTCGGGCACGCGCTCCCGGCTGGGGAGTCCGGCCCTGACGCCCCGCGCCCAGCCCGAACCCGAGCGCCGGCCTTACCGTGCGGCCTCCGCGCTGCCAGCCAGGGGAAAGGGAGCAACGGGGTTTCCCGGGCGCACAAGTCGGGCGTCGGGTCTCGCGAGAGGTCCGAGCGCTCGCGAGAGCGGGGCCAGACGAGCAGCCCCGCCTCTCTCAGGGCGAATCAGGCTTCGTCTCGGCGGAGATGGGCGGGTGCGTGGGGAGGAGGCGGGCTCGCGAAGGAAGAAGCCGAGGGCGAGGGGAGGGAGGCGTGCTTCTTCCCAGCCCTTTCCCCTCCCGGAGCGAAACAGAGCTCCCGTCCTGAACTGGGGGTGTGTGGTTTCGTTTGTGTCGATTGTGGCGGAAGGAACAGCGGCGGAGGACACGGTGGTGGCGAAAGTTGTGCTGCATTTGAATGGACAGGGGAGAGTGATCCGATCACCACCCCCTTTCTGGGTGGAAGTGGCTTTTCGGGACGGAAGTGGGGATAGTAAGGGCGGAACTGTGACGGGGAAGCCTGCGGAGGCACGAGAAGGAAATGTGTGCGACCACCAGTTCTCGCGAGAGCAGGCGGAGCCGGACCACCCCTGTTAGGGCGGAAACTGCTTCATCGCGGCCCAGGCGACCGCTGTGGGAAGAAGGCACCGCGGGCAGGGAGACCGGGGCAGGGACAAAGAGGCGGAGGCGGCCCCTGCGGAGAAGTTAGGGCGGTTCTGCTGCCTAGTGCCGGAATGTGTTCGCTCAACGCTTTGGGAATCTATCCCGCTGGGAATCTATCCACCTCACTGACCTGTCCGGGTCCAGTCTGCCCACTTGCCCTTTGAACGCTTCAGTTTATCCGTGAAGAGAAAGAAAATACAATTTAAATAGATACACTGAAATCCCGTTCGTTTGCCCGTTTTAAATTACTGCTCCTGTACATGGTGTATCAAATTAATTCTATCAGCAAATACTTTTTGTGTGCCTACTCTGTGCCAGGCACAGATAAACGTTATGTAGTGTTACATGCGTAGTCTAGTGTAATTCTTGTCAGGTCCAACAACCAAACACTGAAGGGACTCACTTACTGTCCAATAAAATTGTTAACTTGCTGCAGAAAAGGAGACATTTAAATGTGTGTGGCTATTATGTTGAAAAGACAGAGTTTAAAAAATAAGATCAAATAATATCTTTTCCACAGTGAGATACTGTGTATGCAAAACACTTTTTTTTTTTTTAAAAGATTTTATTTATTTATTTGACAGAGAGATCACAAGTAGGCAGAGCAGCAGGCAGAGAGAGAGGGGGAAGCAGGCTCCCTACTGATCAGAGAGCCCTATGCCGGGCTTGATCCCAGGACCCTGAGTTCACGACCGGAGCTGAAGGCAGAGGCTTAACCCACTGAGCCACCCAGGTGCCCCCACCTTGGTTATTAATAAGCCAATATGTTATGCCAGTATCTGTTAAAAAATTAAAACCAACTATTTTAGTTGGTTCAAGCTGCTATAACAAAATACCATAGATGGTGGCTTATAAACAACAGAAATTTATTTCTCATAGTTCTGGAGGCTGGGAAAGTCCAAAATCAAAGTGCCAGCAGATCTAGTGTCTGGTGAGGGCCAGCCTCCTCGTTCACAGCCATCTTTTTGCTATGTCCTCACATGGCAGAGAGGTGAGTGAGGGAGCTCTTTGGGGAATATTTTATTAGGGCACTAATCTCTCCCAAGGCACCGCCTCCAAATGTCATTACAAGTGGAAATTAGGTTTCAGTATAGGAATTTTGGGGGGGTGACACAAACATTTGGTCTAGAACATAAACTATGCTTCTAAACATGATAATATCATGTATTTAGTTTCATGAAGAATGTTGTTGAAACCTATTTCACACTTAGAATAGTTTAAGTGTCTCAAATTTTCCCCCCAGAATCAACATATGTGTGTTTGACTATGTAAGTTTATGCATGTGTAAGTATAAATGTCCATATACTTGGATAACTTATATTCACCTTTTATACATTTCTGATATACATTTTAAAGATTTTATTTGACAGAGAGGGATACAGTGAGAGGGAATACAAGTAGGGGGATTGGGAGAGGGAGAAGCAGGCTTCCCGCTGAGCAGGGAGCCTGATGCGGGGCTTGATCCGAGGACCCCGGGATCATGACCTGAAGTGAAGGCAGAGGCTTTAACCCACTGAGCCACCCAGGCACCCCTTGATGTACATTTCTAATATCAGTGCTAAATCATTTAAGCTTAATTCACTTGGGTCAATTTACTAAGTATTTCTTTTTAAAAAAAGAGCTGTCCAGAGGAACTGTGTAGTGTGCCTCACCAAACAAAAGAAGACACAGGGATAATACAGGTTTTGGGGAAGAATGAATGTTACGTAAAATTTATATATTAAGCAGAGCTTTAACGGACCCAGGGCAAAGCAGATCCTATATAATGGAGTCAGCATCACGCCTGGGCAGAGAAGCAGACACAAGGTCCTGTTTCTTCAGAAATTATAGAGTTAAGATAAATGTGCGACATTATCTTCAGAAATCCCTCCTCTGAAGGTCTGCACCTGGGTTGGAAATCATACCTGCTTCTCTATGTTAAAGTGATCCTTCAGGCAAGAGTGAGATGTCCCCTTCTCACTATTACAATGATTTCAAAGAGCAAACTTTCTGACAGTCTATGATTTCAGATAACATGGCTTCTCAGTAGTACATTCTTGGTGTTAATTTTTACAGATTTGTAATCTTAACAACTCTATAAGGTGGTTACAAACCAGGCAACTGAGTTTTAGACAGTCAAGTTGCTTGACCTGGAGCTGGGATTTGAATCCACAACTGATGACTCATCAACCTTTTTCAATAATTCTACAGATAGAGAATTTAAAAATGATTAGAAGTTGTGTACATCTAGGTAATAGAAGTTGTGTACATCTAGGTACATCTAGGTAATAGAATGCTATTCAGTGCTAATAAGAAAGGAACTATCGGGACATGGAAAGACATACAGCAAACTTAGATGACTATTATTACGTGAAAGAAGGCAATCTGAAAAAGCATACTGTAGGATTCCAACTATATGACATTTTGGGGAAAAAAAGCAAAATTATGGAAACAGTAAAAAGACCATTGGTGGCCAGAGGTTAGTGTGGGTAAGGATGAATAGTAGGTGGAGCACAGAGAAATCTTAGGACAGTGAAACTATCTTGTGCAATATGGGTGCCTGGATGGCTCAGTTGGTTAAGTGTCTGCCTTTGGGCTCAGGTCATGATACCAGGGTCCTGGGATCAAGTCCCACATTGGGCTCCTTGCTCAGTGGGGAGCCTGCTTCTCCCCCTGCTTGTGCTCTCTCTAAAATAAATAAATAAAATCTTACAAAAAGGAACTATTCTCTGTGATACTATAATAGTGGATACATGTCATTATATATTTGTCCTAATCCATACACTGTACAAATAAGACTGAACCCTAATGTAAACTATGGACTTTGGGTGGCGATGACACATCAATGTAAGCTGATCAACTTTAAAAAATGTACCACTCTAGTGGGGAATGTTGATAGTGGAGGAGGCTGTGCTTGTGTGGGGGCAGGGAGACCATGAGAACAATTAGTGTGCTCAATTTTTCTGTGAAAAACTGCTCTAAAATGTAAACATTGTTTGAAAAAGAAGAAAACTGAGCCACCATTTGAAAATTAAGATGTTCTACAAAGAAATTCAGTTTTTCAGCTTCTCTTGAAGAACCAGAAGTTGTGGCAATAGCCACTGTCCTGCCTGGCAACAATCCACTAAGGTAAAGGAGGCTGTCCCCTTAGGCAGGGCATGCATTCTCAGTTTTCTAGGGCTCGTCCAGTTTTCTTTACTCAGGCTGGTCCGAGTGCAGTGGTGTTTACAATTAATTGATCACAGCCAGTTACAGTTTTCTTTACTCATTTATATGATTTGCTTGGCCCTGTATGCATTTCAGTTTATAGCCCTCTGACAGCTGGAAATGATCTGTGCCTGGCACTGAGCAGGTACTTCATTGTTGAATCAGTGAATCTCCCACTATCTTCCTCTACCAATCTTTCTTATATAGCTATAAGAAATCCAAGTTTGTATTTATTTGTGCTAGTTACTGAAAAGTGAGTTGAACAAGTCCTTTGTGTCAGGATAGACTAGATTATGGTGTGGCAACAAACAATCCCCAAATCTCAGTGGCTTAAAATAACAAAGATTTATTTCTCAGTTACTCACCCAAAGGTAGACACAAAATGAAAATACTCTCCTGTTTTTGCATGTATGGAAACAGACATGAGTGCACAGGTATGTATAGAATCATATGTTAAATAAATATTCTGGAAAGTGAACTCATGCAAAAACCTATTTAGATACTGGTTAGCTTAAACTGCACATCTCTCACTTTGTTGGGGATTTAAAAATGTCCCAGGACCCAGTGAGTAAGAGAATACCACTTTCAGTCAAGGAAATGCCCACACTACAAAAGGAACCAAAAGCTAATGAAGCACCTGAAAGCTTTAAAAAAAGAAGAAAAAAAAAAGTAAAGAAAAAAAAAAAAAAAAAAAAACTGAAAGTTTTAAAAAAAAAAAAAAAAAAAAAGTAAAGAAAAAAAAAAAAAAGAAAAGCTGGAAGCTTGTACTACATTAAATTCCATACATAAATCCAGAAGCAAAATACCAAATATGCAGAGCCCGCAGGCTGTTGCCTCTTCCCCAGCAAGGCTTCCATCTCTGGGCTTCTAGCTTAGGAGGGAGATAGAGCCCAGACGCCCAATATGCAGAGCCACAGAGGGGGCTGGGCTGGGTCGGAGAGAGGGTCCAACAGGCTGGAATCCTCTTCCTCCAGCAGGAGCTATAAGCAGGAAAGAAGGGGGTAGGACTGGGTCATATCCATTTCCTTTCCCAGCAACCCCCTCTTTTTACCCCATCCAATCCAGGCCTCATCCTTGTTCACCTGGATTATAGAAAATGCTTCCCCCTCACTGATTTTCCAACCTCCAGTCTTGTCTCTTTCCATCCCTCCATCAGAGCCACCATCCTTGTTTTCTAAAGCTCAGGGTCTCTATGTTCCTGCCTAGCTCAGAAATATTCCCTGGCTCCCTTTCATGCACAGTTGCTAGTCTGGCCTCCTAAGACTGGCATCCAGACCTCCGGGATCTGAAGTCTCTCCAGCCTCATCGCCTTCTGTTCCAGCGGTTTTTCCAGGCAGGTTTCCTCACCCACACACCATACCCAAGCCATCATCTTGGACAGAAGAATCCTCAGCCTTCCCTCTCTGTGCCCATAGGTTTCATTCCTCAAGATTCCTTTAGTTCTTTCCAGGTTTGTCACTGAGCTTTGTGGAGGCATCCTGCTTTGCCAAGTAGAATGGAAAGTCCTTGAAGGCAGTTATCCGATCTGCAGCAGGCAGCTGCAGGGAGCCTGAGGCTGGAGTCAGGAGATCAGGCTCTGCCAGTCTTGCCATATGCCCTTGGGCAAGTCCCCGCTTTTCTCAGATCCCCTTTTCCTTGACATCAGGGCATGGGACATTTGCTTTTAAGCACAAAATTAGTAAAACTGGTTCACCAAACAACTCTCAACTGCAATTCCAGGAGCTAAGTTGAGAAGCCTGGGGCCTGAGTCTGAAGATGTTCAACATGCTGACCCTGGTTAGTCCCTAATTACCCTGGTACCTCCATTTCCCAACCATTCCTATCCCATCTTCTTTCAGGGAACAGGTTACCTGGTGGGCCACAGGGGTGGAGCAGGGAGATCCAAGGAGGATTGGGAGGAACAGAAGAGGTCAGGCGGGGAGCCTGGGAAGAGTCTTTCAGACCCACAAGAGCCTCAGCTGCCTCCCGCTGCAGCTGCCGCTCTGAGGGGGCAGAAGTCCAGGCCAGGCGAGAAGCTCCAGGGGCCTGCAAAAGAAAAGAAAAGAAACAGAGTGGGAACCCCCACTCTGCCCACTCTCCAAGTACTCTCTCAGCCCCTGGTTACTTCACTATCCCTTATCTTCCTTTCCCCAGGTCCAATTTCCTCCCAGGGTCCTGGATCCCACTTCTTTCCCAGGACCTGTGGCTGCAGCAGAAGAGGGTCTGGGGTGCCACAGGGCTGGAGTATCAGAGTCGAGCATCTAGAAGCAAGAAGATAACAAGGGGGTTAAACACACGGATGGACATGTACACATGGAAGTCTGGGTACCTGCTGGGCCATTAGGCTTTGTGGACTTGGGCAAGTCCCTTCCCCTGTCTTGGCTTGTTTTGTTTGCTATAAAATGAAAATCCCTGCCAGCTGCTTTCCTCCAGAGCTACTGTGGCAATGGTGTCAATTTTTAAAAAACATACGAACAGCGAGAGGGACAGGGATGGCTGTTCCTGCCCTACCGAAGTCCAGTTGCCTTCCTCTAGTTCCCCAATCCCCATGGAACTTGAGGAGCACCTTTAAGACACTTTCTCTAATGGCCTCTGACCTCTACTGTAGGCCTCTGAGGCTCTCACCATCGCACCCCACCCCACCCCACCCCACCCTTTCAGCAGGCAGTTTGATTCCATTTTATCTGTTTAAGAGGATTTAATAGCTACTGCTATTAAAGTCCAGAGCCTCTGCTAGGGTGTATTCTGTACATTATCACTAATTCTCATGACAAAGCAAAAAGAAGGTAATTGTGTCTCCAACTTACTGAAAGAAAACCAGCTTCAGAGAGGTAAAGATACTCGTACAAAAGTTCTCAGTCAGGCAATGGCAGAGGAAGGAGTGCCCGTCCTCACACATTAGTCTGAGACCTTGTAGTCTATGTCATCTACTGTGGTCCCCAGGACAGTATTAGGCACATTATAGACAAATATCCTTCCCTCCCTACTCACGCGCGGGGCAGGGCAGTGGGCCCTTGGGATTCTCCAGAAAGGGGAGTCGTCAGTATCGGGCGAGATCCTGGGCAGGTTGGGAGGGGCCCATGAGTGGGCAGCCGGAGGGAAGTGCCAGGGTCAAAGCCTAATGAGGGTAAGAGAATGCAGGAGTGTACAGGGGTTAAAGGTCATGACTTCCATCTTCCTTCCTACTCTGCATCTTGTTCCTCTTCTCTTTCTGGTACAGCAGTACAATGGTATACAAATATTTGCTGAATGAATGTTGAATTAATCTTACCAGGAAAGGGATGCAGAGGGACAGTAGGTTCTTGGCATAGCAAGCGGCATACCACTGGAGGTGGCATGGAAAGTCCTGGAGGCAGCCAGTGTCCAGGAGCCCAAGGGCCTGGAGGCATTGGAGTCCAGGACAAAGGCAAGGCTTCTGGGGGACGACTGAGCAGCAGAGGCCCTTGGGAGTTATCCTGCAAGGGCAGAGAACACAAGCTGGAGTCAGATACGAGGCTGGAGAAAGAATGAGTACGTTCTAGGGTGGGGTCAGGACCTCAAAACTTTCGACTTGGGAGGGCTGAAAATACCACCCTCTCATTTTTTTACCCATAGAAGAGAAGTGATTTGCCCAGGAGGATACTGCAAATCAGGGCTAGCTCTAGAACCCAAGTGTTGAGGGCACAGAAGGAGGGGGTCTGGGCAAGGGCTAGTATAGGAGTTGCTCCTCCAGGGCCCAGGTTCTCCTTACCTTCCCAGGGGGTGTCAGTGCCAGTGGGACTGCCCCATGGGGCGTCTGAGGCTGGGGTGCTATGTTTTCCTTTTCAGCTGTGAGGGAGCAGGGAGAGCTCTGATGACCCTTTCTCCTGACCTCCACCCCACTCCAACTGCAAACTGAGTTCTTACTTCCCTCTGGCCTTTTTCTACCCAGGGATCTCACTACATCCTCCCAACACTTGACTGCATTTTAAAGTTGGAGAAACTGAGGCCGCCCAGAGAGTAGAAACACTTTGCCTGAGGTCACATACCAATTCCAATGGAGGGTCTGGGACTCTTTTTCCTACTTATGCTTTCTCCACCCCAAACCCGGACCCATCCCTGGCCAGACACTCACCGGGGACCCCAGGTCGAGTGGCTCCCTTCTTGACATGGCTGGGAGCTTTGGGAGGAGCTGCACCTCTCCTCATCAGTCCCTGAGCCAGATGCCTCTTTAGCTGTGCTTCCTGTTGCCTACGCAAGGCCACCTGGGCAGCCATGACCCTCCGGCGCTCCCTAAAACAGGGGATGCAGGTCAAAAGTCAGCCTCACTTTAGATGAGGCCCTTCCTCCTCCCTTCCCTGGATCTCATTCATACTCACAAGATGAGGACACATTTATGACACTCGCAAGCCTGAAAGAGGCACAGGCGCTTGTGGCCCTTCAAGTGGGCAGTGACGCCGTGGTTTCGGCAGCGGGCACAGGTGGGAGAGCGACTAACAGCTCTCCTGGGGATAAGCTCCGTGCCTGGGGGGGCTCTGGTCTCACCCCCTGGGGCAGAGTCCGAAGCACAGTGGTGGACAACAGCGGGCATTTCTTTGGCTTCCATGGATCTGGGGGCAGGAGTGGGAGGTCAGGGCGGCCACGTGGGCCCTCTTCTGACCAGCCCTCCTGCCCCTGGGAGGTCACACCTGAAGGGGTTTCCACAGCACCCATCTGCGGACTCAGATTTCACCCTCACTCCTCGCACCCCCCCAACCCGCCTGCTTTCTCCCCGCTTCACCCCACTGCCTTCCTCGGACTTCCTCCTTCCCAGAAGGCTCGCCTTCTTCCCCGGCGCCCCTCTCCCCCTTCCCTTCTCAGCTGCTGGCCTGTGCTTCCTCCTGCACAAGCCCCACGCTCATACCCCTGCATTCACGCCCCCCCCGGGGGTTCTACACCCCCTTTCCCCCAACGCCCTGTTCTGAGAGTTCCTGCCGTCGTCTTCGGCGACTACCATCCCTCCCCCCTGCACTGATCCAGTTCCGACAACTACGTTCATGCCCCTTCAATTCTCAGCGTCATGTACCTCCTGCAAGTCAACGTTCCTCTTGCTCCCCTTTTAAATCAGAACGCTCTCTTGCCGCCTCCCTGCCCCCCACCCCCGCAATTACTTTATTCTCACGGATTCCTCGCCCCACTTTCAAGAATTATTTTCATTCACTCGACAAACGTTTACTGAGCCCCTTCCAGATGCCAGGCCCCCTCCTCACGGCACGGATTCCCGTCCTGCACCCACATGCCCTCCAAACTCTGACGTAAACCCGGTGGTCGCTGCGCCCAGCGCTTCGGGGGTCTTTACCCATTCCCAGCAACCGATCTCATGCATCGTCCGGCCCACCTCCCCGCGGCGCACCACCGCCTCGCGCGGCTGTTACTCGCGTGCACCCCCTTTCAGCTGCCCGGCCTGTGGCCTCGCCTCGCCCCAGGGTCCAGGAGCGCGCCCGGGGGCCCGCGGCGTGGGGGAGGGGAGGAGAGGGACGCGAGGAGCGCGAGGGGTAGGCGGGGGAGGGGGTCCAGCGCCACAGAGAGGGGGAGAAGGGACAGGGAGGGGCGGGGTCGTGTTCGCGTCCTCGGCCCGCGGTTACCACAGCCTCGAGCGAGCAGTCAGACACACTCAGGAGGACGCGAAAGGACGCTGTGAGGAAGCGGCGTGAGGAACGGCCGCGCTCGAGCCTGTTTTCCCGCCCCTTCTCACAAGGACCAATGAGCTTCAAGCGTCATGTCCCGCCGTCAAGGCAAGCGACCAATGCGCTTCAAGATCCTCACTGATGGGCCCTCCCCTTACCTCCAGCCCGCTTCGGCTCGCGCCAGACTGTCAGGCCAGCCAATAGCGCGTCGAGTTGAGGCCTATCCCCCCCCCCCCCCCACTTGCCCCTCCCCCTGTGGCTTGCCTTCCCAGATTGTTGCTCCCCTTTGGGAGAAGTGGCCAATGGGGCGTCGAGTACTGCTCCTAGGATAAGACTGGCCCTGCCCCCCCCCCCCCCCCCCCCAGAAACGGCTGCCGGGTCCGACCTCCCAGGCGTTGACCTGGACCTGACTGCGCGTGCGCAGTCAGGTCCAGGTGCCTGCACCGCGCGGTTTTGCTCTTGCGCTCCGGGCTTCGACTTCGCTCCGGCGGTTCTTCGCTGTGTGGACGCTCGTTTTTCTCTCCCTTCTCTCCCTGTGCCCCAACTGCAGATCTGCCCTTCTTCTTTTTATGCGTTTCCTCTCCTTTGATTTTCCCGTTTCCTTCCCTCATCCCACCTCGGGTTGCGTCCCTTTCCATGTCTCTCCTCCTGTCCGTTTAGGTGCTGATTTTCCTAACTTCGGTTTTCCCGTTCTCTTGAGAGTTCCTGTCCTTCTGTCCATCCTGCTGATTTTCGGACCCCCTTCCTCCACGATCCTATTTTCCGAATAGCCTGGCCCTGTCCACCCCCCGCACCCCTTCACTCTCTTTCCGAGATGCGGCTGTAGTATTTCTGTCCCTTCGTCCCTTTCCACTCTCTGCATTCATCTCCCTCCCCGGTTTCACCTCAACTCATCAGTTGCATCTGGACTCCACTCTGTCATCCTCAGCTGCCTTCTCCGTGTGTCTCACGGTTTCCCTCCCACCCGCTCCTGTTGTCCCCCTTTCTCTGTGCCTCCCGCCTCGGTCTCCTTTTCCCCCTGAGTGCCACGTCTTTGTGTCCCAGGCCTCATTTTCCTGCCTTTCCTATTGTGTTCTGGCTGCGGGTCCTCTGACTCCCTGCAAGGTTCTAGGCCACCAGTTTGCTCCTCCTCCTCTGCACGGTTTCTCTTTTGCAGGCGTAGCATCCCCTCTGACCACCTCTTCTTCGTTCTTTCCCCCTGAGAATTTCATTCCGCTCTTTTCTGTTTGTGTCTCCATTTGTGCTCAGACTTCTGGATCCTGTCGTTTTGCATTCCAGGCCGGTGTGTGCTATCTTCTCTGATTGGCCCAATCCCTTTGTGTGATCCTTTGTCAGCCTTCATTTCCCTGTCCTGTGTTCCATCTTTTCTGCGGGTCTCAGCGCCTTTGTTTGCTCCAGACTCCTGAATTACAGAGCCCGTGTACCAGGCATTCTGGACAGAAAAGGGCGGCAGAAGTGACCTCTACCTGGACTGCTGTGCAGGCGAGCAGTACTAGACAAAGTTGGACAGGTTGTTTGGGGCCAATCTAGCAGTGGGGGATGTGGGTGTGGGAGGCTTGACTGCCTACTAAAGAGGTTGACCTTGATCCTTTAGATAGTGGAAAGATGGAGAGGGACTGGAGAGCCAACATTTATGGAGAGTTTAACACTTGCCTGATACTTTATATTAATAAGCTTACTAATTTTCAACAGCATTCTCATGAGATGAATTATTAGTCCATTTTATAAATGAGTTCAACAACTTACACAAGATTGCACATCTAGTAAGTGGAGGGGTAAAGATTCTAACCTTGCTCCACCTTTGAGTCCAAGGCCTGTGAACTTTTGTACGACCTACATTGTTTTAGTTAGTATTTCTAGTAATCTTCATTCTCCACTTGTATTCCCTAACCCTCCTGTAGGCTCTCACTTCTAGTGGCTAACGCCTATCTTTTGGTTCTTGTGTTCTTGTAAGATGTGCGGTGTCTTGTGTGCACGTGTTTTTTAAAAAGTTTATTACTTATTCATTTATTTAAGTACACCCAGCATGGGGCTCAAACGCATGACCCTGAGATCAAGAGTCACATGCTCTTCCTACTGAGTCAGCCAGACACCCCTGCACATATAGTTTTATTTTATTACTTAAAAAAAATATTTTAGGGGCGCCTGAGTGGCTCAGTGGGTTAAAGCCTCTGCTTTTGGCTCAGGTCATGATCCCAGGGTCCTGGGATCGAGCCCCGCATCGGGCTCCTCTGCTCAGCAGGGAGCCTGCTTCTTCCTCTCTCTCTGCCTGCCTCTCTGCCTACTTGTGATCTCTGTCTGTCAAATAAATAAATAAAATCTTTTTAAAAAAAAAAAAAAAAGATTTTATTTACTTAGAGAAAGAGGGGGGGTGCAGAGGAAGCAGGAGAGAGAGTCTTAAGCAGATGCACACTATACACAGAGCTTGAGGTGGGGCTTGGTCTCATGACCCTGAGATTGGAACCTGAGCTGAAATCAAGGACCAGACGCTTCACTGACTGAGCCACCCAGGCAACCCTGTGCCTGTGGTTTTAACTTATGCAAGTAATATAGTGTTTTTATTTAAAATAATCAGCACTGTATTTTTCTGATCCAGCCATGTACATGTTATGCATATCTCTAATCAGTATTTTTTTAATTGCATGATATTCCGTAGTGTGTGTCCCCTGAATGTTGTGTGTTCACTGAGTCTCAGCCAGGAATGCCCACATTGCCTTCCAACTCACCATCTCCATAATAATGCTGCATCCTGGTATATGTTGCTTTGTAGATGAAGGTGGAAATCTCTATTATGTGTACCTAGGACATACTAGAAATGGGAATTTGTAAACCTGATTTGACTTGGTCTTGCCAGATTCCTCCCTGCAATGCTGCTTTGGGCCTGAAACATTGATCAGAACTTTTAACTGTTCCTCAGGATCCAGAAGAGGGTCCTGTGCCCCTCCCAACAACCCCATGAGCAGCAGGACACAAGGGTCCCTGTATCTGTATCCCCACATTGTTGCCAACACATATCTTTTTCCAGCTGTCTGGTCCATTGCTAGTCTGAGAGATGGACAGTTTGATAGACTGCCTTTCTCTGATTATTGTTAAGCCTGAGTGTCTCTCCACATGTTTTTTAGCCTTTCTGATTTGCTCTTCTGAGAATTGCCTCTTCATATGCTTGGCCCATTTTCCTACTGGGGTTACTCTCTTTTTCTTGTCTGTTTTCCAGAGGTCCTTGGGCATTCTAATTGCTTTAAGGCATTACATATACTCTTCTTATGCCAATCTTGGCATTTCACATTATTTTAGAGATGTATCCACTTCATCCAGGTTTTCTAAAGATTTTATTTTATTTTTTTAAAGATTTTATTTATTTATTTGACAAAGATCACAAATAGACAGAGAGGCAGGCAGAGAGAGAGGGGGAAGCAGGCTCCCTGCTGAGCAGAGAGCCCGATGCAGGGCTCAATCCCAGGACCCTGAGATCATGACTTGAGCCAAAGGCAGAGGCTTAACCCACTGAGCCACCCAGGTGCCCCAAGATTTTATTTTTTTACATCATCTCTATACGCAACGTGGGACTCGAAATCACAACCCCAGGAGTTGCGTGATTGTACTAACTGAGCCAGTCAGGCTCCCCTACTTCATTCGGGTTTTCAAATTTATAAATGTAGAGTTCTTAAGTATACTTTTTTTTTTAAACAGCCACTGTCTGTTACTTCTGATTTTTAATTTGGTATTTTATTTGCATCTTCTCTTTTTCTCTTGATTAGATTTGCTGGAGAATTATCTCATTGATTTTGTCAAAGAATGAATGTTAAGTTTTCTGTAATAACTTTTGTTAATCTAATTCATTGATTTTTGTCATTATCTTAATTTCTGTCCTTTGTTGGCGGGGGGCAGGTGTTTTGTTGCACCTTGTACAACTTCTTGAGTTAATCCGTGACCATGTTTTTTAA